CCCTACTGTCACGCGTCTACTAGCCACAGTTGTCACTGACCCGTCGTTTGAGTCTGCTGCTGCGTCTGCTCTTGTCGCTGAGCTTGTTGACTTTGCTGCTGCCTGTCGTCTAGACTTCACTGCCAGTCTTGTTACTGAGTCTGAGTCTGTCTGTCCTCCGTCCGTCGGGGGTGAGTGTGCTCTTAGCACGGACGTCCTTGAGGACAGGCAGGAGGAGTTCCAGTGTCTTGCTGCTGCTTTACCTCATCTTGTGTCCTCGCTACTTGCCCCTGAGGGAGACCCGGATGCACCAGACATCCCGACTCCGCGTTCTTACGCGGAGGCGATAGAGGGTCCCTACTCCTCTCAGTGGCAGGCAGCCATGGACGCAGAGATGGCTTCCTGGAAGTCCACAGGCACCTACGTTGACGAGGTTCCCCCACCTGGGGCGAACATCGTCAGTGGCATGTGGATTTTCAGGGTGAAGCGGCCGCCGGGTTCTCCGCCTGTCTTCAAGGCGCGTTACGTGGCTCGAGGCTTCAGTCAGCGAGAGGGAGTTGACTTCTTCCAGACCTTCTCCCCCACCCCGAAGATGACCACTCTTCGGGTGCTGCTGCACGTTGCTGCTCACCGTGACTACGAGCTTCACTCTCTTGACTTCAGCGCAGCTTTCCTGCAGGGCAGCCTACACGAGGAGATCTGGCTGCGCCGCCCCCCGGGCTTCACTGGGTCGTTCCCTCCTGGTACCCAGTGGAGCCTCCGGCGGCCGGTCTACGGTCTCCGCCAGGCGCCACGTGAGTGGCACGACACACTGAGGACTACGCTTGCGGCTCTTGGGTTCGCGCCTTCTACTGCTGACCCGTCGTTGTTTCTGCGCACCGACACTTCCCTGCCGCCGTTCTACATCCTCGTGTACGTCGACGACTTGGTTTTTGCCACTGCTGACACTGAGGCTCTTGCCCACGTGAAGTCGGAGCTGCAGAAGAGACACACGTGCACAGACTTGGGTGAGCTGCGCAGCTACCTTGGCTTGCAGATCACCCGAGACAGAGCACGTCGCACCATCACCTTGACTCAGTCACACATGGTGCAGCAGGTCCTTCAGCGCTTCGGCTTCACCTGGTCTTCAGCACAGGCCACTCCTCTGGCTACAGGTCACACGCTCTCAGCTCCACCTTCGGACGAGTCCGTAGAGCCGAGTGGTCCTTACCCAGAGCTAGTCGGCTGCCTCATGTACCTGATGACTTGCACTCGACCTGACCTCGCGTACCCTCTTGGTCTCCTGGCTCGCTACGTGGCTCCTGGTCGGCACCGACCTGAGCACATGGCTGCTGCTAAGAGGGTACTGCGTTACTTGTGCAGCACATCAGGCATGGGGCTAGTGCTTGGAGGGACGAGCCCAGTTGTCCTCACTGGGCACTCAGACGCTTCTTGGGTTGACGACCTGGCTACTCAGCGGTCGTCACAGGGTTACACCTTCAGCCTTGGCTCTGGTTCAGTTTCGTGGCGTTCTACACGCTCGACTTCAGTTCTCGGCTCCAGTTGTGAGGCTGAGATCTACGCCACCGCCATGGCTGCACAGGAGTTACGCTGGCTCACCTACCTGCTGACTGACTTGGGAGAGCAGCCTCGTTCTCCTCCAGTGCTGTACGTTGACAACAAGGCCGCCATTGCCTTGTGTGAGGAGCACAGACTGGAGCACAGAACGAAGCACATTGCTCTGCGGTACTTCCTGGCTCGAGAGTTGCAGCAGCGAGGCCAGCTTCGTCTTCGCCACGTGGCCACTCGGGCCAACACTGCTGACATATTCACCAAGGCACTTCCGTCTGGTGATCATCAGCGCTTTTGTACTCTGTTAGGCCTTGTGCCTACGTTTCCACACTTGCTGTAGTCTCTGCTTGTACTGTGATCTGTACATATATATATATGCATGCTGGCTCTTGCTAGGTAGCCATCACTGTACTGTTATTGCTGCATATATATCTCTGCATGTGAACTGGCCCAGTGGCCCTTTGCTTGTGCTCAGAATGCGTGGTGACGTTGTGATCCACCCTGAGCTTGTTTTTGCTTTGCTTTCTTGACTGGTCGTGTGACCCCTTGTTCTCCCCCACTTTGCCTATGGGGGTGTGTCAAACTATATGTACTGCATATTGTCTAGGCTGTAGTGGGGTAGCCCACATGGGGTACAACCCAATTAGGGTTTACTACTTGTACTCCTGCATCCTGTTAGTTCATCCATTCCTGCTGCTAGATTCTTACAATACCTCATCCCATACCTGTAGAATTTGAAGATGAACGTTGCTGTGGAAATTAGCAAGAGTGAAGGTGAAGAGAAGACTGCATGGGAGGTGAGTGCTGAGTGAACTGTCTCACAGGGCATATATGGTTTGACCGGGCATGAATTGCTTGGTATTGTGACAAAGTCATTCCTTTCCTTGTCATTCATGTCCCTTCATCCACCACCTCCAGCAAATCGAATCAGCGTCACAAGGAACAAATATCAATGTGGCGGGTCTCGACAGCCTCTCAGACGCCATGCTTGCCCATGTGTCCACCATAACACATCTGACGAGCATTAGCTTGTTGTCTAGCTCAGGCTTCAGTGCAGAGGGCATCAAGCACCTCTACAGGCTGCCACGGCTGGAGACGCTAGTCCTTCAATGCACAGACGTCTCAGACAGTGCCTTGGAAGGCGTTGGATTGCCACAATTGACAGACCTTTCATCTCTCAGAGCGCTGGGGCTTGGTGATTGCACGGGTGTGACAAACGCGAGCATGGTGCATGTGGGGAGGTTGACAGGGCTTGAGAACCTTTTTCTCTGTCGCACGGCAGTTACGGATGATGGGTTGCGGAAGTTGACTACCCTGAACAAGCTGACAACTCTCATTACGCCAGAAGGGGGTTTCCTTACGAATTATGATGTACGCAGGCGGATAGGCGGACAGGTTGGCAGAGTGTGATGATAGAAAGGGAGGTGAGGTGAGGGGTGTGAAGAATGAGGAGAGGCATGCATGCAGAGGAGCGAGGCATGGAATCGTGGTTGAGCACCACTCAGCTTGCATGCTGCGGGGTTGGAGAATGGTCAGGCCCTATGCCTTACAGGAGCAGGGCTGCCTCCAGGTGGGGTTGGAAAGAAGCAGGTGCAGGGCTGGTTGGGCAAGACACCAGGTGGATGAAGGGAGGATGTACATTATAGCCATGCTCATGCCCCGTTTTGATGTCAAGTGGTGTACTAAACGCATGTCAGCGGCTGGCTAGGGGGATCCTGTTTTCTCAAGACCGACGCTGGGACAGAAGCCGCTAAGAGAGACAGTGTTCTACGACCTGAGCACGACGAGTATTACCGCATGCCATGTGTGGCCCACGGGCAGGGCCCAAAATATCAGGGTAAAATACCCTTTTTGCCCTTTGTGTAGGCCGCTTTTTTTCAGTTACCCTGATCAAGGCAGGCTAACCGTATAGTTACCCTTTCTTCAAATTTGTGGTTTTTTTTTTTACCCTTCCAAAAACAGTGTAGGAGTTTTTTTTCCCTAACTAATTAGTGTAACACATGCGTTATACAGGTACCGATTCGAAGAAACGAGCATTCTTTCAGGAGACCATTTGGCGAAGTCGAGGTTCGAACCTGCGAGCTAACCATTCAGAGGAAATTCTATAACTAAGTCACAAACAGACGTTTTATGTGACTAATAACCATGATGTTTATTTTTAGATGATTCAGTCAGGCTACTAATTTTTTTAGCCTGTATTTGTCAGGGTATCAAAATTTTTACCCTAGGCCATCAGGGTGGGACAGGCTGAGACCGTGATTAGGCGGGGTGGCCTAAAACCAATTTTGGGCCCTGCCCACGGGTTGACAGGGATAATGGGCCATGTTATTTGTTAAATTGGGTCCTGAGATGCTATGAGTTGACACTATGATGCTTGTGAAGACCATGCGCCTTTTTATCTCATGCGTTCTGAGTTGTAGAACAGTTGCGCAGCAAACAAATAATGAAGCTTACTGACGATACAATGACAGGCACCAGGCGTTTCATTGCTTTATCAATCAAGGACCTGTGGAAGCAGCCTCTCATTGGTCTCTATCTGTAGATTGTATACTAAACCACTCGGTTACCTGTTGTTAGAATCTGAGACGTTGTTAGGGAGTAGAGATGACGCCCACTCCACGCCTTGTTCACGCCTTGAGATTTGTTCTCCTGCACTGCGTCTTGGGATTGGAAAACAGGCAGGATCTTGGGAATGCCGTTCGTCAATGGATGCCGCTCCTGATTGCAACGCAACTGCCCATTCAAGGACACGCGGAGGCGAGTTCCAGACCCGCACGCAACGAAACGAAGCCGGGGCTCGCAGCCAATTGACGTCAACGTCCATCCCTGTCTCGCGCTTTATGTCGCTGCCCAGAGAGAGTCACGACAGACAACGTTCTCAAATAAGGAAACCCGTTCCGATGCGGGATTCTCATTCTCCCTGGGATCCGCCGATAGGTTCCGAAATCATTTCGTCCCGGCGCACATTCACTAGCTGACCAAGACATCCAAAGTGACAGTCGCATCCATGGGTGTGGTCCGGATGAGGAATCCGTCACAGCATCGGACGGTCGAGAGCAAATCATTGTTTGGAAACGCGAGCTTATCAAGATCGAATTCGTGACATGTCTAACTTCTGTCCCACTCAGCAGCGCACGCGCTGATCCACCCCAAGGGCTGAATGCATGCCTGCTCGGCCTCTCGTCCGAGTCTAGGCTAAGCCCTTGAAATGCCTTCTCATGCATCGAATTCGAGTGGTCCAGTCGTTGCAACCAGGCGCGACTTTCTCTTTTATCCTCGGCTGGGACTCGCCTTTTGTCTCGCCTTACTCTCGCTTGTTGTCGCAAAGGGTGGTGTCTTTTCTTCTTCACGCCACGCGAACGGGATGGTGTTTTCTCCTCCAACCCCTCTGACATCGCCGACCTCGCTCATCCTTTCTGCTGAGCCTGTACCTAGCACCGTCGTGGTACTCCGTCGCTCTTTCGCGTGTCATGGCTCTGAAATTCGACCCAGACTTTTGGAACGTGGTTCAAGAGAGACTGCAACCGAGGTACTAGTAGTACCCTCATCCACCAGTGGTGATTTCTAAAAGATTTCAGGGAGAACGTACTCATTCCGAGTGCGCTGCTTGTGCTTCCATCTTCACGAAACCTCGTGCCCAGTCAGCTCTCCTGTCAAACAGACACTTCTAAGCACGTTGCAATGCGTGAACACATGCTTTTCCCCATGCCCTCTCTCATTCCGTCTCTGCCTCCCAGGCCACAGGAAATGCTACCGCCACTTCATGCGTCAGCTCAATCCGGCTCCTCTGAGGAATCTCCTGAGGGCCGCCATGATTCTGGTGATGATAGTGGAAGCACGGCAGCGACAAAATCGAAAGAGCTTGAAGTGGAATGGCTGGAAGCATCACAGATCCGATTCAGCCAGTCGACTATATGCGAGGCCTTCTCACGCCCGCCAGCTAAGGCAGCATCAGATGCAGCACCCGAACAGAAGAGGTATGCATCTTTTTAGCATCACGCCCCATTTGCTCCGTAATCTCCTGTGACTTTGTTGGGCTTTTTGACATAGTGGCAGACGTTTGTTTTTTTTTGTTCTCTCTCAACAAGGCCTCGCCTCACTCATCTATCATGATTATGACTAGTTTTTTCTTTCTGCTCCCACTTCCTCAATTCTTCCCAATCCCCCCTGCCACTAATACAACTTACCGAACATCTTCGCCCATCAGCTACGCACGTGTGGCTGCAGCTGCACCCAGAAGCAGCAAGTACACAGTCTTTGACGCCGTGCGAGATCTCTACAGCGGCGCCAGCAAGGTGGAGGACTTTCCACCAATCCGAGTGGTGGAGCAGGACGGGCTGCTCTTCTCTCTAGACAACCGCCGCCTCTATGTGTTCAAGCTGTACAGACCCACTGGATTGCTTGTGCCTGTGCGCCGAGTACCGGCTGATAAGGAGCTGTTTCAAAAGCTCACGTGCACGGGCACGGGAGATGCGCGGGGGAAGACGGTGGAGGTGCTGACGGAGGAGGAGGCGAGGAAGTTGGGGAGAGTGCTGCAGCTGGAGCAACACGTGCTCAAGTGGAGCGTGGACGATATCATGAATGATTACCTGCTGGTCCGGAAGGTACGGCTGCAGAAACATCGGATTTCTACTGAGTGCTTGGGAGTGACGTATGCTTGCAGTGTCTTGACCTTCTTATTCTCGTCTCGTATGCTTCCTTTCCTTCTATCTGGCATGAGCTAACGCGTATGGTACAATAAGAGCACTTGATAGTTGACGTCTCGTTTGAAGCAACTTCGTTCGTATACTACAATAACTGCTATGATCAATAACCAATACCTTAAACACCCCTGTGACCTCACCCGTTCAGGTTCGGCCTATACCAGACGCGTTCCCGAACGTTCGCTCGTACCTGTCTGCGTTCCGCTGGCCCCTGGTGGAGGAGTGCCGCGCCAGCCTCAAGTCTGGCGTGAGTCAGCTCTCTGCTTCAACCCCCATTCCAATAGACATTCACAAAGTGGAGAGGCTCGATGGGTATGTGGCAGGCGTAGATGATTATGATGACGAGGAGGAGGAGGGGGAGGAAATTGGGAATTACATGGCCCAGAAGGATTTATTCGGCAGGGATTTGCATGGGGAGGAGGATATACATGGAGGTTCTTCGTTTGAGGGAGCGAGGAGGGTGAGGAAGCCGGTGAAGGTGCACTCGGATACGGGGCGGTTTGGTGCGGTGGTATTCGAGGTGGACAGGCAGAAGCTGGCTGGAGACAGGGCAGCGTGGGGGGCAGGAGCTGGGGGCAGCGTGTCCGAACAGGTGAAGCTGAAGCCGACAGATGTGGTGCTCTTCTCCACCGTTGCTCCCACTGACTCCACCGACCTGCTTCGCTCGGGTGTGCTGTATCTGCTGGGCGTTCTGATTCCCGACCGCAACATGACAATAGGCCTTCCTCTTCCACAGGAGGATGTGGCACAGGGCGGTGGTGGGGGCGATGGGAGCAGCTTGTACTTCAAGGCAAAGATCTTTCTTCCAAAAGATTCTCCCGAGTCTAAGGCCTGGAGGAGGCTTTGGTGCGGAAGAAGAGTGGTAAGGGAGATGGTGGGGAGGAAGGTGGTGAGGAGGGGGGTGGGACTCAGGAGGTTGCCTGGTATGTGACCCCGGTGGATACATTTGCCACGCCTCAGCGCATCTGGGATGCGCTGCATGTGTCCTTGGAACAGGAGGAGTGGAACGAGAGCGGGGAGTCGAAGAGAGATCGGACGATGAGGATGGTTTTGGAGGAGGTGCTGTGTTCGGAGAGTGGGAGCGGCAGTAGGGGTAGAGCGAAGCGAAGCACAGAAGAAGAAAGAGAGGTAAGGCGGGCGTGATTCTTTTCGTTCTGTTGTAGAAGGATACATGAAACCACCTTGTGCGGTGAATTTTGCGAGCTAGTGCTGTCACCAGCTGCACAACCAACGATCACCCATGTGCGATACCTGTTTAACCAATCTCATTCTTTCCTCTGCATGCCACCCTCCTCTCCCATGCTACCCTCTGGTGTCGTGAGCAGCAACTTCTGAGCATGCTACCTCCAGCCATCTCCATAGCCTCTGATGTGGTTCCGGAGCTCATGCAAGCCGTGGGGGATTTTTGCCATGCCTGCGGCCTCAACCAACCACAGCGAACAGCCATTCTCGCCTGCCTGAGAGGCTTCCTCTCTGTCGCTGCTTCACCCAACGCCTCTGCCTACTCTGACTCTTCCTCCCCGTTTTTCTCCCCGAATATCCCCTCCTCTTCACAATTCTCGTCCTTCTCATCGCCGCTCGACGATTCTGCATCTCGCCGTATCCTGCAGCTGGTTCAGGGACCCCCCGGCACAGGCAAAACGCATACCATCTCCATTCTCCTCTCCATCATGCTTGCCCTTGGAGTACGCACGCTTGTCTGCGCCCCTACCAACGTCGCTGCAGCAGAAGTGGGCCGGCGAGTGCTGCACCTCGCGCTCTCCTCTGATCCCTCCTCTCACTTTGCAGGGTACTGCCGCGCCCAGCAGCAACAGTGCTACGGGTGGCCGGACCGAAAGGCATTCGCGAGGCATGGGAGGCTGAGGGTTGGGGATATAGCCCTTGTGGCAAATGAGGAGAGGCTGGAGATCGATCCAGAGCTGGAAATGATTCTGGTGGGCAGTGAGAGGAAGGAGAGTGGCGGCCAGAGGCGGACACTGAGTGGTCGTGTTGGGAGGCTGATAGGAGCCGTTTCCTCTTTATCTGGTTGGAAGGCGTCGTTTCAGGACCTGCTTTCCTTTCTGGAATCCTCATGGGAGGATCTGAACGGTGAATTTCAAACTGAGTTGAGAGCGGAAGAGAAGAGGCGCCGCAGGGAAGATGCTTCCGCGGCCGATGAGGATGATGTGCAGGGCGAGGTCAGTAGAGGCGGCAGCAACAAGAAAGATCCAAAGAACACCGAACCGCTCCCCACCCTCGTAACGCACTACCAGAAGCGCATTAATCTCCTGACCCAGCCTGCTATGGAAGCAGCTGTTAATCTTGCAGAGGACCTGCCGCCTGCTCTTCTTCCTGAGAATCAACGGCTGCTGCTTCTCCAGGCGTTTGATCTCATGGCAGCTCTGTGCAAGCTGGTAAGATGCGCTGGGCCGACTCCTGCTGTTCTAAGGACATGGCTGGAAGGCGCGGGGGAGGTGGTTGGAGGGGAAGGGGGTGTGAGATCGGTGGTTGAGGAGGCTTCGGTGCTGCTCGGTCTTGGTGTCAGTTCTGGGGGTGGCTTGGACGCGGATTTTGCACCGAGCACTAGCACGAGCAGCAGCACCACTGGCAGCAGCAGCAGCAGAATTGGGATGATACGGGCTGCAGGGATCATGGGAAGTGGCAGAAATAGAACCGCAGCCATCAAAACCACCACCGTCACACCAAACCAAGCCCGAGCACTATTCCTCTCCGTTCGCATCTGCCTGCGACGCATCGCAAACCAAAGCCCAGCCTACAGCATCCCGAGCCTATCCGGAGCCCCCACCTTCGCAACAGTGGCTGCAGCATGCATTGAACACGCCAAGCTCGTCCTCTCCACCGTCTCCTCCTCTGCGCGCCCTCTCCTCCGTTTATCCAGCCCGTTCCCCCTGCTGCTGCTGGACGAAGCAGCCCAGCTGGTGGAGGCAGAGAGTGTGGTGGCGCTCCAGACGAAGGGGCTGCGCTATGCTGTGCTTGTGGGCGATCCCAAACAGCTGCCCGCCACTGTTCTGAGCAAGGTGAGCGATGGGAAGTGGTCAGTTGGTGAACTACTCAATTACATTCTTGTTACACATGCCCCACACACTCCTCTGACACACTCCCTGCACTTGCTTCTGATTTCATGCCCGTGTCTCTAACTCCTCGTACTCTCCCTCCCTTCATTCTCCTTTTCATGCATTCTCTCTCTCCCAGGTAGCAGTTGAGAGCCACTATAACCGCAGCTTGTTCGAGCGCCTGCAGGGCAAGGGGTGGGACGTGCACATGCTGAGCGTGCAGTACCGCATGCACCCGGAGATCAGCCGCTTCCCCTCTCACCGCTTCTACGAGGGGCGTATCGAGGATGGTGCCAACGTATGCCGCCTGTCCCACTGCCCGCAGCATCTGGAGCGTCTGTTTGGCCCGTACATGTTCATGCACGTGAGGGGCAAGGAGGAGAGGGATGTGGGGAAGGCGGGGGAAGGCGGCTCGCGCAGTATTGCGAACTCGGTGGAGGCTGCGGTGGTGCTAGCGCTGCTCAAACGGCTCTCTGATGGTGCGCTCTACTCATGTGCTCTGCTCTGCGCTTTTCTGCTCTGCATTCCATCCACTGCTACTTTCTGATATTCTCTCCATTGCCGGTTCTACTTCTATTCTGTGCCAAATACAGCTGCTTCTCCTGCTTCTGCTACTTCAATTCAACCTCGTCTCGTAACTCGTCTGTAACCCCCCCTGCCACTCGCACCTTTCCTCCCACGCCGACGGCCACAGCCTGCAAGGGCATTGCAGCAGCAGCACCAGCAGGGGCACGCGCCACACCACTCAAAGTGGGTCTCATATCCCCGTACAACCTGCAAGTGGAGTACTTGAAGCGAGCACTGGAGTCGCAGTCATGGCCGCACCTGGTGGTGGAGGTGAAGAGTGTGGACGGGTTTCAGGGCCGGGAGCGCGACGTGATCATTGTCACCACTGTGCGCTCCAATAGGGCTGGCACCATTGGCTTTGTGTCCGATGCAAGGCGGTGGGTGATGGGGGTGGGGTAATGAGGGGAGGAGGGGTGATGGGGGGTGGGTGATGGGCGGTGGGCGATTGGTGTCCACAGTGGGTGGTTGTTATGGAGTGAGGGAGTGGTGCTTTTGGTGCTTGTTGTTGAGTAAGTGTATGCACACTGGGTTTACCTCGGATTCCATTGGTAGTTCCTTGAGTGACCTGCTGCACTGCACAACTTCGTACCTCATGCGTCATGGCCTTGTGATCTTAGAAATGGCTCTGTCTTCCCTGCATCTTCCCGTCCCACACCTTCCTCTCACCCCGTGTCCCCTCCACCCATCTTCCCCCCTTCGCTCCTTTCACTTCCCCCCGTTTCCCCCCTTCTCTCCTCCTCCTTCCCTCCTCCCCCTTCCCCATTTCCCCGTCCCCCTCTCCCTTTCGCCCCTCCCCCTTGTTCGCCCCTCCCTCTCCCCCGTTCCTGCCTTTAGGCTCAACGTGGCAGTAACACGAGCGCGCTACTGCATGTGGGTGGTGGGCGATCGGGACACACTGCAGCGCGGCGACACCACGTGGGAGCACTTGCTCATGGACGCGCAGCAGCGCGGGTGCTTGCTGGAGGCGCTGAGCGACGTGAAGCTGCGCAGAGTGGTGGAGAGGCGTCAGATGGAGTTGGGCGAGGTGGAGCAGCTGCTGCAGCCCAACTCAGGCCTCTGGGACTCACTGATCTGGGAGGTGAGACTGGTGGGGGGGAAGGGAAAGGGGAGTCGGATGTGGGTAGAAGGGTGTGGACACCGGCATGGGATTGTGTGATTCAGGGGGAGGTATATGTTGGAGGTATGGATGGGTTGAGCTGAGAGGAGTGCAGGTAGAGAAGTGGTTCCAACTTGCAAGCCCTGTTGTCTGTTTCCCTTCCCCGCCACCAGGCCACCTTCAGCGTGGAGTTCCAGCGCAGCATGCGGGAGCTGCGCTCTTTAGACGTGATCAACACAGTGAGGCGCCTCATGGGCGGATACAGGCCGCAGCGATGCACCAGGCCACGGCACGCGCTCAAGGACCCGCGCTACTATGACATCATTCACGTGCAGTCTGTGGGAAGACACCAGCTTATCTGGACTATTGACGTCTCCCGCACCACCTTCAAACAGGTAGCTGCTCTCTCTCTCTCTCTCATTTTCTCTTCCTGCTCCTCAGCCCGCTCTCGAAACCGTTTCCCCTCTACTGCCGCCTTCTCGTCTTCCATATCCCAGCGTCACAACAGTTGCATGAGTTGCTCTTTCCCCCTTGCTCTCTTCCCTCCCCCTTGCTCTCTTCCCTCCCCCTTGCTCTCTTCCCTCCCCCTTGCTCTCTTCCCTCCCCCTTGCTCTCTTCCCTCCCCCTTGCTCTCTTCCCTCCCCCTTGCTCTCTTCCCTCCCCCTTGCTCTCTTCCCTCCCCCTTGCTCTCTTCCCTCCCCCTTGCTCTCTTCCCTCCCCCTTGCTCTCTTCCCTCCCCCTTGCTCTCTTCCCTCCCCCTTGCTCTCTTCCCTCCCCCATTTCGTCTTCCCTAAGCACTGTACTACGGAGCAGATAATTCGGTTGTGGGACACGGTAGAGGAGCAGCACGTGCTCAAGTGGTATGGTCACAACGATCGTATCAGTTGCTCTTTCCCCCGTGCTCTCTTCCCTCCCCTTCGTCTGCCATCCTCCCCGTTCCACCTCGGAGCAGATCATCCGGGTGTGGGACATGGTGGAGGAGCAGCACGTGCTCAAGTGGTATAGTCACAACAATTGCATGAGCTGCTCTTTCCCCCTGTGCTCTCTTCCCGCGGAGCAGATCATCCGGGTGGGGGACGTGGTGGAGGAGCAGCACGTGCTCAAGTGGCTGCGCCGCCTGGAGGGAGGCCTTGGAACCTACTCTCACGAGTCGCTCGACCGCTGTGCGCACTGTGACGACCACCTTGCTCGCAAGGTGCAGCTGCTGCAGTTCCCGAAAGACCCGGGGTTTACATGGCACCGGGCTAAGGCATCGTCGCGCGATGCAGCTGCTGTTTTCACCGCAGAAGAAGGTACAATTGGCTGGTTCAAGTGGTTAGAAACGTCCAGTGAGCAAAGGAATTATTTTCAGCAGAAGGTTTGCTCTTTGTGTGATGCGCTGGTTTTTTTCCTTGAGTTGATCTTGAGGTTGGTTTGTCCCTGTCCCCGTCACCTGTCCACTTACTCTTGCACTTGTCTCCTCCCTCCCCTCCCTTACTCTTTCCCTCCCTCCCTCTCTCTCCCTCGCTCCCCGCTTCCCTCCCTCCCTTCCCCCCCTCTTCCCTCCCTCCCTCCCTCCCCCCCTCCATCCCTCCCTTCCTCCCTCCCTCCATCCCTCCCTCCACGCCTCTCCCCCTTCCCTCCCTCCCTCGCCCCCTCCTCCCTCCTCCCCTCCCTTCCCTCCCTCCCTCTCTCCTCCCCCCCCCACCAGAGAGCGCCCTGGAGCGGGCGCCAGTGGACGAGAGCGTGCTGCTAATGAAGTTCTACCAGCTGTCACTGGGGTCCGCGCGGCAGCTGCTCACAGCAGCGCAGGGCGAGCTGCCCTTCGAGGTCAACGAGCAGGAGGCGCTCATAGTGCACTACCCGGGGAGTCTTTTTGTGCTCGGCCGCTCCGGCACCGGCAAGACCACGATTATTACCCACCGGTTGCTGCGCTTGGAGAGCGTTTTTCTTCGAGCCATGGGGGAGCGTGGCCGGCTGGGTCCTGCTGTGGAGACTGGGAGTGGGGGGAGTGGGAGGGGAAGCGATGTGGGAGGTGCACGTATGGGGGGAGAGGGAGGGCGAGGGAAGGTGATGGGTGAAGGGAAGGGAGGTAGAGACGAAGGGGGGGAGGGCGGGGAAGCGGGGGGTGTGGGGACGCTGCGGCAGGTGATTGTGACTCTGAGCCCGAGGCTGTGTGCTGCGATTCGCCACCACGTGCACAAAGTTAGACGGTGAGTGACCTGAAGGGTTGTGCTGTTGTGTGTGTGAATGGGGATGGCTTGACTGGGTGGGGATGGCGTGATAGGGTGGAGATGTGAATGGGGATGGGATTGGGGATGGGGATGGGACGCTATCTTCACGCTCTAATGTCGCTCCTTCCTTCCTTCTCCCTTTCCCCCACCCCACCCCACTGTTTCCAACTCCTTGTCTCTCCAAGGACTCTGCCACCCTCCCATCTATTACTCAAGCAACCTGTTCCAATCTCGATGTATCCTTTCTCTTACACGACCACCCCCTTATGCTCTCGCTCACATGCACACTCTCACTTACTCCCACACATTCGCTCACTTTCACCTATGTGTGCATCCCTCCATGTGTCTTGTCTTGTCTCCACCAGAACCATGCTGGAAGCAGATGCCATCCTCCCTGCTGGCACCACACCACCAAACACAGCCCAGGGGGGGCAGGAGCAGCAGCAGCAGCAGCAGGAGAGGCAGGGGAGGTGGAGGAGCTTTTACTGTCAGAAGAAGCAGAGGAGAAACTCATGGGAGATTTGCCCGAGTCTCTCGACGAGGTGCAGCCTGATGCCTATCCCTTAGTGCTGACGTTCAAGAAGCTTCTCAGCATGGTCAATGCCACGCTGGCACGGCCGTTCCAGCAGGATGGGGTGAAGGCTGGTGGGGGGCATGGGAAGGGGGCGACGGGTGGTGGATGGAAGAGTGGGGAGTATAAGGCTCAGGGTGCTGGGGAGAAGGGTGGCAATGGCAGTGACGACGATGGGAGCGAGTATTTTTCACAGGATGATGATGATGAAGATGAAGATGAGGAGGAAGAGGAGGACGAGGAGGAGGATGAGTGGGGCCCAGCGTACCATCAGTCACACTGGCACAGGGACAGGGCACAAGGCACAAGGGGAGCCAGCAGCAGCAACGCCGGCTACAGCACCACTGGCATCGCCAGCGGCAGTGGTGGTACTGGGGTGCTGTCTCTACCTGAAGAGGTGGACTATGACCGTTTCGAGTCCCTCTACTGGCCGCACTTCAACACATCCGTGACACGCAAGTTCGACGCCTCGCTGGTCTACAAGGAGTTCTTCTCGCACATCAAAGGCTCCCTGCTCGCCCTCAGATCCCCCCGGGGGCGCCTGTCTCAGGAAGCGTACGTAGCCCTCGCACACTCCCGCACGTCAAGCTTTGATGAGGCGCAGAGGGAGGTGATCTATGGGCTATACTTGCAGTATGAGAGGATGAAGCGGCAGAGGAGGGACCACGACCTGTGTGATTATGTGTATCACGTGTATAAGGAGCTGGCACGAGGAGCCACTAGCATCTGCACGCCTGCTGCTCTTGCTGCTGTAGCTGCCACTGCCAGCACTGCTGCCAACGCTGCTGCCACGGGTGCTGCTTCTCGTGCCGCCACCAGGTCTGTTGCCTCTCGTGGTGGCGGTGGTGGTGGGGAGGAAAAGGTTCGCTGTGGCCCGCCCTTCCAGTTTGTGTACGTGGACGAGGTGCAAGATTTGACCCAGGCGCAGATAGCCATCCTGCGCTTCCTCTGCGCCAATACCTCTGATGGGTTTGTCTTTGGGGGGGACACGGCGCAGACCATTGCGAGGGGGGTTGATTTCCGGTTTCAGGACATCCGGAGGCTGTTCTACGAGCTGTTTTTGGGGAGGAAGGTGGATGTTGTGGGGGATGCAGGGAGTGAGGGGTTGGAGAGCGGAGGAGGTGGGGATGCTGGCAGTGGTGGTGCTGCTGGTGGTGCAGGGGAGGGGGAGAGTGGGACAGAGGAGGGGCGCGGACGGGAGAAGCAAGGGAGGTGGGCAGGGGCAGCAGCAGCGCGAGGCAAGCAGAAGCTGTCTGGCAAAGGGAGGAGGATGCTCGAAGAGGTGGGGACGGGGAGTGGGGCAGCAACACTGACTGTGGGTGCAGCACAGGGCTCAGACAGGGATAGAGCAGAGCAGAGCAAGTGGGAGATAGGAGGAAAGGCAGGCGCAGCAGCCCAAGAGCGATCGTCCTGCACAGAAATGCCGGATCTCTTCTTCCTCTCACAGAACTTCCGTGCACACAACGGCATAGTGCGTCTGGCTGACAGTGTGGTGCGCGTGCTGCTGCACTTCTTCCCCCACGTTGTGGACCGGCTTGCACCGGAGTTCAGTCTCATTGATGGGGAGGCGCCCGTGTTCCTGGACGCCAAGGAGGGAGACGATGTGGTCACGCAGCTGTTTGGGAAGAAGGGCGCGATTGGCGGCGGAGGGTGCGAGTTTGGAGCAGAGCAGGTAGGGTGCCATGGACTGAGCCGGGGGGGGGGGGGGGATGGGTTGCAGAGAGAATGAAGGGAATTGTGAGAGGAGAGGAAACAGAGAAGGGATGGAGCATTCTTTTTCTTGTGCTGTGTGTTTCACTTGCTTCCTGGTGCTACCGAGTCTTCTGATGTTCTCTCTCCCGCTGGTTCCCTCCTTCCACGACCTCCCGTCCTGGCTTGCATCAGGTCATATTGGTGCGCGATGCGGAAAGCCGCACAGAGCTGGTGAAGCGGATCGGGTCAAAGGGACTCGTGCTCAGCGTGCACGAGTGCAAGGGGCTGGAGTTCCAGGTGAACACATTCTTCATCACCACATTGGGGGGGTCATGTTCTTGGTAGATCGTATTATCCTCTCTTGCCATGCACTTCCATGGCACTCCTTTCCCTTGCGCTCGCTTCAACAAGTCTCTGAATAACGTAATGCTAGAAAGATCACTCCCTCACCTTCCACGGACAGCTCCTATTCATCCATAACCCATTCTCTCTCCCAACCAAGCCCTCTCACCCATTTATCCCTTCCCCTCTCCCCAGGACGCCCTGATGTACAATTTCTTCTCGGGCTCACCTATGGCGTCGAGCTGGCGGCTGCTGTACCACTACATGCGCGAGCACTCCCTCATCCCCTCCGCTGAGGACGGCTCTAGCCGCTGGCAGTGCCCCTCCTTTGACCCTAAGCGGTGCGTGGCTATGAAGAATGCTAAGAAATCGTTTCCATGGTGCTAACATTGCATTGTTGACCACATAAGCAAACTGACACACTAGTTCTTTTCACTCTTCCACTAATATTTGCACCCACTGTCTTCCCTCCGTGCCTCCTTCCTCTTATTCCCATCATTACCTCACAGCCCCTCCACTCCCCTTTGCTTCCCTCGTTTCTTCTTTCTTCACCTTTCCGAAACACAATCTCCTTTACACCTGACTGGAGTAACACGACTCGTTGCCCGTTCCACCTCACTCACCGCACAGCATCTCCCCCTCTCTCTTCTCTTCCCCCCATCCTCACCAGGCACAACCTCCTGTGCAGTGAGCTGAAGCAGCTGTACGTGGTGCTAACACGTGCGCGGCAGCGGCTGTGGATATATGAGGAGGACGAGGGGGCGAGGCGACCGGCCATGGACCTGTGGGGGGCGATGGGCGTGGTGGCAGTGAAAGCACTCACGGCCGACCTTCTCACGTCCATGCACACGGAATCGTCACCCGAGGGGTGGCATAAGCGGGGAACTGAGGTGAATTTTGACTTGGGCCGAATTAGAAGTGTATGGAAGACGCGGGGCGGGGGAAGAAAAGATTCAAGGAAGTTCATATTGTTACCTTTCCACTCAATCCTTCCCCCCACCTCTCTTCCGCACTTCCTTCCTGTCCCTAATTTGTCTCGTTTGTTTCTCCCACATTCACTTATTACTCCCCTCTCTCAACTCTCTTCTGACTTCTGTCTCTCCCATCTCGCCTCCCCCCTCTCCCTTATTCCCTCTGTCCCTGCGTCGAATCTGCCGGCCCCCTCTCTCGCAGCTGTTCAACGCAGCCCAGTTCGAGGTAGCAGTGCTCAGCTTCAAACGAGCAGGCGACGAGCACAGTGCAGCGGTGGCACGGGCAGCCCTGCTGCAGCAGACAGCCAAGAGGCTACAGGGCACTGACCCCAAGAAGGCCAGCAAGACGTTTCAAGACGCCGCAGACGCGTTTCTGAAAGTGGACAAGCCGAGGGATGCCGCCCGGTGCTTGATCAGTGCGGGCAAGATGAAGCAAGCAGGTGAGGAACGGTGGAGTGAGGTGGACGAGATAGGGGGAAGGGACGTGAAGGAAGAAGGTGGGGGTGGTTGAGAGGAGGGCAGTGACAGTGTTGCTGTGAGAGGCTGGTTGGAAGGAGGGATCTGGCTGTCGTTTCCCTTGCTTTACAATCTGTATATGTATCCGCTCCCCCCCTCTCCCCTCCTTCCACCTCTCATCCTTTTCAACACTTGTAAAGATGGTTCCTAGTGATTCGTAACACTCTTTCATCTGCTTTCATCCGTCCTCCTTTCTCCTGGGGCACCAACCAGGTGATGTGTATCGGGACAGGTTTGTGCCACCCATGTGGGTGAAAGCAGGGGAGTGCTACGAGCTGGCAGCGATGGCGGAGGAAGCAGCACAGTGCTTTGCACAAGTGTGGGAGGTGGAGAGGGCGCTGCTTGTGTGTGCGCAGAACCAGCTGTACACTCTCGGAGTGTCCCTGCTGCAAGTGTGTCAGGGACAGGTTGAGGAGGGAATGAGAGCAGTGAAAGTACAGCAGAACCAGCAAGGCCAGCAGCTGCAGAAGCAGAAGGAGGAGGAGGAAGAGAAGTGGAAGCAGCGAGAAAGGCTCGTCATTCGAAAGAACGCAGAGTTCCTGCAGCAGGCTGCTATGTTCTACTATCGCAAGAAGAACAAGAGCGAGATGATGAGGTTTGTGCATCAGTTTCCCTCACTGGCAAAGAAGCGGCAGTTCCTGGAAAGGCGAGACTTCTTTGATGATTTGCTCCAGATTGAGATAGCTGAGGGGAATTTCCAGCGGGCAGCTGAAATGATGCTCAAGAAGGGAGACATGGTTGGGGCAGCGAGAATGTTTTTCGGGCAGAAGGAATGGTGGCGGGCATTTGAGTGTGCGATGGGTGCGGCTCGTGTCGCGAGCATGTGGGCGAATGGGAACAAGGGATGGCCGTTGAATGTTCGGGAGCGGAAGCAAGAGAAGGTGGAGAAGCAAGAGGTGACAGTGGAGACCAGGAAAGACGAATTGCCCCTGGGAAAGGGGAAGGAGGATGAGGGAATGAAGGTGAAAGTGAAAGCAGGAAAGGGTGAAGCTGTTCCAAACGCATGGGAGGCGAGGGCTGAGGTGGATGAGAGTGAAACGGAAGTCCAGGGCAAGATAGACGCTCCAGAGGGAGGGGGAAAGCAGGAGAAAGCGGAAACGCAGGAGAAAGCGGAAATGCAGGAGAAAGCGGAAAAGCAGGAGAAAGCAGAAATGCAGGAGAAAGCGGAAGTGCAGGAGGGGGTGGAAACGAATGTGGGTGCAAATATAGACGCGAGTATGGATGCGTTAGAGACAGCTGTTGCCGTGTGGGAGTGGGAGAGGAAGGCCAGGGAGCAGTGGAAGGACGTGAAAGATGTAGAAGAGGGAAGTGCAGTCGGATTGGGGATTCAAGGACTGGGTTGGGTGTCAGGGAGGGAGGGCGGGGAGGTGGATGAGAGGGAGGGCTTGGAGGCTATCACGCTGCTGTGGCTGCGGGATTTCCACGCTCTGGCTGGTGCAGAAGGGCGTGGGAGGGAGGTAGATTCGGGTGCGGAAGAGATGGAGGAATGGTGGCACCTGCTTACTCGCTGCCGTGCGGATGAGCTGCTTGGTATGGTGGGTGCGATGGGGAAAAGCACTCTGGGAGGTGAGTTGGCAGAACAAGCGGGGGTGGTACCCGAGGAAGGGGAGGAGGAGGAGGAGGAGGATTTGGGGTTGGGTGAAAGGAGTCTTGCTGCTGAAGTGCTGGTGAGCTGGAAGGGTCTCCAGTTGAGCATCCAGCGAGCCAAAGCATCTCTTTCTCATCCCGCCAGCACTTCCCTTCCTCGCTCCAGTGCCACGCCCTCTGCCCCAATAATCCCTTCTCCTGCCAAGCCTGCTGCTAACCAGCCCTCTCGGCCATCGCCTGGAGCAGAAGCAGCAGCAGCTGTGCCTCTCCGGCCCGCATGGCAGGCGGTAAATCAGGGAGCTCCACAGCAGTTGCAGCAGCAGGAGCAAGCGCAGAAACAGATGCAGCATGAGGAGTTGCCGTTTGAGGCGGAATGGAGGGAGGTGAAGGTGTGGTGGGGGCGGTGGAGTGAGAGAGTTGCAGCCATGGTATCAGCACTGCAGAGACTACAGAGGCGCAGAGAGCTACCCTCAGATGCGCCCTGGCTAGATGCCACCTTCCACCTGCTCTCCATCTCCTCCCCTGCTTCCTCCTCCTCCTCCTCCTCCTCCCACTCCGCCTTCCACGCTCTCGCTTCCTCCTCTGCCCAGTCCCTTGTGGTCGGCCTGTCATCTGCTCATTGGCTGAACCCTGTGCGAGCAGCAGTTAGCCATCTGCCAAATCAGGGCACGCGAGGGGAGGTAGCAAGAGAGGCTGCAGCTAGGGCAGGTACTATCTACTGGGCGAGGCAGGCGAGTGAGATGGTAAAGGAATGTGCGGCTGTGATGCAGCAAGCCTTGAGATCTTTGGAGAAGGGTATGCTCGGTAGGAGGGAGAGTGGGGCGGCGGGTGATAAGAAGCGAGCCAGAGAGCTGCACTTGCAGCTTGAGCTTTGGGTGGAAATCCATGCGTTGCTTCAGTTTGCAATAGATCTGTGTGGGGGCGAGAGGCAAGAGCAGAAGCTGCAGCAGGGAGAGGAACTGAGCAGCCAGGTGCAAGGGGCAGGCGGGGTGGGTGAGGAAGGGGGGATAGCGCAAATGGCAGGGGACGTGGAGCTCTGGAAAGAACAGCAGGACAGAGCGAGATTGCGGCTTGTCTCGTTGCTCTTCCCTGTGACGAGCCCTCTCCCTCGCTCCGTGGCGTTTGTGGTGGCATGGTGGAGGGAGGACGAGCGAGCACGGACCTTGATGCGCCAGTGGGCTTGCTCGTGTGTCCAGAAATGTGTGGTGGAAGGGCGGAAGAATCAGCAGCGGCAGGATGAGGAGGAGGAGCGGCAGAGGGAGGAGGAGCGGCAGAGGGAGGAGGAGCAACGGCAGAAGGAGGAAGAACAACGGTTGCAGCAGGAGGAGCAGCAGCAGGAGGGGAGGGATGAGGAGGAGGACGAGGAGGAGGAGGAGCAGCAGCAGCAGCAGCAGGAGCAGCAACAGCAGCAGCAGGAGCAGCAGCAGCAGCAGCAGGAGCAGCAGCAGCAGCAGGAGCAGCAACAGCAGCAGCAGCAGCAGCAACAGCAGCAGCAGCAGCAACAGCAGCAGCAGCAGGAGCAGCAGCAGCAGCAGCAGCAGCAAGAACTCATAGACCCATTGGTTCCTCTTGGATCGTTTGCCCAGCTGATGCAGGTGCTGCCGTATCTAGGGTCATGGTGGATGTGTAGGGAGTGCCAAGACTTGATAGCGCTGATGCCGCCCACAAGAATGGATGTGTGCACTCAAATGCTTCAGGGGGCGCAATGGGAGCTTGAGGGCCAGTCTCTTGCTCTCCAGGAACCCTCTTTTCTCCCTGGATCTGTGGCACTTGTTTTGTTGGGCGTCGCCTTGAACAATGTTTACGAGGTGAGTGCTGCCGTTGGGCGATGTCGCATTGCTCTTGGTTGTCCCTTTCTCGAATTGCGTTTTCATTTTGAGTCACTCTCGGAAACATTGGAGTTGTTGAATTTTGAGCTGGTCATTAAAAAAATGTGACAAACCATCTGGTACAATTCTGTGCCCTTCCCCTGCCCTTTCACTGTCTGTGCGTGGTTGCTTGCAGTGGTGCTACTGGAAGAACAGTTTCGTTTCCTTCCCAGTGTTCCTCAGCCTGGCAGAAAGAGCAGCAGTCCACACGTGTGCAGCCATTACGAATCTGGAGAATCTCGTCATTCCCACCTCCCTCGCTTCCCTCCACCTGGAAGGCCAGCACTACTCCAACCTCTGCACGCACATGTTAATGTGGTCTTTGAATCGAAACCCTTCTACTCTCGCTGAGCTTCACACAAACGTTCTCTCTCCTCTCCTTGATACCCTCATCCGCTTCCTTGTGTTTGAGCCGGAGGACCTTATGTGGTGGATGAACAGGAGTGGTGTGGCTCCAGCGGAACGTGGCTCCCTCTTTCTCCGCCTCCTCGTTCTTGTTGCCTTCTCTGTCTGCAATGTCGACAGATACCACAACCATGAATTCTTCTCCTACCTTGTAAACCACCTCCTGATCCTCGTCTCCCCTCTCGACCGGCTCCCCAACCCGCTCATCTCCACCCTTCCTCCAAAACTTTACTACGATCTCAAGAACATGTTCAAGAGGGATAAACCCACACCACGTGCCAACTACTTTTACAAGATGCTGACCCGTAACATGCGCGCCATGCGAGACCCTTTGGTGGTGCTTCGGCGGCAGGGGTCTCGGAGTATTCCAGCCTTTGTATGGAAGGCCAGCCTGGCGTATGTCAATGTTGAGTTCACCCCGGAATTTGCTGCTCATGCTGCTGGTGGTGGTCATGTAAATGGAGGGCAACAGTGCTTCTCGGTGTTTTCTCTTCAGAATCTGACAGGGTACCGGGTTCCACTGCTGGGTGGTGACACTGAGAATGCAGCCGATGCCGTTGCGGCCGCTGCTGTTGGTGAGGAGGAGGATGGCGGTGCTGGTGATAGTACGGTTGGTGAGGAAGGAGCTGGTGCTGAATTGGGTGTTAAAGCTGACTCAGACTCAACAACAGAGGTGGTGGCTGCTGAGAGTCTAGAGCAGGGGGATGAGTGGGGTGGTGATGAGGAGGGGAAGGCAGGCACAGGTGGTGGTGCTGGGAAGCACGTGGGGAAGGAGTTGAAGAATGCGCAGCTGCAGACCGACGAGCGGGAGGAGGTGGACGGTGTCAAGATCGCGCTGAGGATCACACAGCAGCTGCGCAGCTGCCTGCACCAGGTAGGAGAAGCTCAGGCTGTATAAACAACAGCTAAACTTGCTGACTGGTCAGCTCTCTTACTGTGTGCCTGGATGAGTATTAGGAGAGTTCTGGCGATGCCAACCCATGGCTGCATGCTTTGCTTCATCCATCCTGTGCTAGTGTAATGTAGACCAGGATCGTGTCTTCATCGTCCCCTCAACTGCCATCTCCTTCCGAGCAATTTTGAAGAGTTTTCAGAAATTGCCCGTTCTTTCCTTCGCAACTCTCCTCCTTCAGGCTCGTGAGCGGCTGCAGAAGGAGTTGTCCGCGCTCCAGCAGTGCAGCAGGGAGGCACGGAGGGGGTTGACTGTCAAGCTTCAGTCCGTTAGTGCAAGCGAGCGCGCCTTTTACCTGAAGGAGTACGAGCAACATGCGTGCCCTTTGAAGGTGTGCACTTAAGCTCTCTTCTTTCCGTGCACTTTTGTTTTCTGAAGTTTTTTAGCCCACGAGATCCGCTTTATTCTCGAGGTCCTTTGACATGCCCTTGCGTTTGTTGTATATCGGTCATTTTTGTATGGTCTCCTTCCCATGTTGTCTCGACCTGGCAACCCTGCCATCGCCACTCTCTTTCCATCTCCTTGTTGTCTTCGTCATCCTGTGTTGTCATCTTGATGTCACACCATGCCGTCTTCTCATCGTCACCTGTGCCTGATTCCGCCTCACTGTCACAGGTTGACGCGGACGCATCTCTGGCCCTGATTCATGAGGGTGTGAGGCAGCTGAAGCAGCTGCTGCAGCAGGGGGGCTCGGGCACAGGACAGGGCCAGCAGCAGCAGAAAGGGCAGACGCGTGGGTGGTCAGAGGAGGAGGCGGAGGAGCATGAGCAGCTATTGGACAAGGCTCTGGATGCAGAAGAATCGCTTGCGGCTGCAACCAGTGTCGTCCACCATTCGTACCTTTGTATGCTCATGCTCTCTTCATACTCCTCATCGTGTTCCCCATCCTCGTATCATCGAGCCCTGCCTTGTTTATCATTCAATCTCACTCCTTGTGCCCCATGTTGTGTATGCTTCGAAGATGTAGTACGCTCGTTTGTCTGAGCTTCCGTAATGCCCTACTGCATCCTCTCATCGTTATTATGTCAGCTTATCTCACCCCATTCTTGCCGCCCTATTATGCTATGCGTCCCATTCTTAACACACCCAATCTCTCACCCTCTTCCGACAGGCACGCCGGTCATGCGTCTGCCTCTGTGAGTTGGCTCCACAGCACAGCCATTGCTCCCCTCTCTGACCTCCTCTCCCAGCACAAGGCTCTGGGGCACCGGCTCAAGCAGCTGCTGCACTCCACAGAGAAGGAAGGGGCAAGTGCACAGGGTGGGTCCGGAAAGGGGAGTGGGACGGTAAAGCAAGAGGGAAGCAGCGGGGTGCAGGAGCCTGGAGGAAGGAAAGGGAAGGGGAAGAAGGGAGCGGGTCGCAGTGGAGGGAAGGATGGTGGCAAAGGAGGGAAGAAGCAGCGAGGAGGCAGGTCAAGAAGGTGATATTGATCAGTTGTTTCAGTACAGGTCGTTAATGTTCAGACCTGTAGAGCGTGGGGCAAATCATGCATGTGAAGGTGTTGATAGAGCAGCATGCAATAGAAGGTCGGGCACAATCTGTGAGGACATTGCATTTTAATCATGTTAGGTAGCCTTTCGCAATTCAGTGTGCTGTGAGGCTACACAGATTGGATTACTGCAGTGGATACTTAAATTTTCTCAGGCGACATTCATGCCACGCTCCTTTCTTCAAGCTCCAGAGAGTCAGCATCTTTCTGGGTTGCCTTCTGTTATCCACAGAAGCTGCTGCTGGTGAAGATGATGTGGGAAGAATTGAGGTGGAGGGGCAATGGGTAAGGCAAAATCTGAACAAGTGTACGGTACCGAATTACCCCGGATATAAGCGCAGGTGCGCTTATAATAAATCAGTGTTTTTTAGGGGGGTGCGCTTATAATTGAGTCGTCTGCAGGGCCCAAAATATCAGGGTAAAACGCCCTGATTACCCTGGGGGTCGGCCGTTTTTTCAGGATTACCCTGCCAAAATCAGGAATGCGAGATAGTTACCCTTCTCTTAAATGAACATGTTTTTTTTTACCCTGATTTGTTTTAAGGTTAGCCTGACGGAATCAGGGTGTGGTGTACACTACCCTTTTACCGAAACTATTCTTTACGCGAATCAGACCACAGTCAGCTTTGTGACAAAACGTACCACACCCCCACAAACACCGGTTGTCGCTTGTGCCCACGCCAGGGTTCTCGCTGTTGGGAACAATTAGTTTTAAAGGCGCTTCTGTCGTGACAAAAACACCAAGTCACAAACGAAGCGAAGCATATCGAAACACCGGCGAGTCAACCCTCGGAAGTTAAAGTAACCGCCGAAGGTTACGCGAAAGGTCAAAAGCGACCTTTGACCTGACCAGTACAGTGCGACAGCAAGGACACACAACCGACTCGTTACAGAGCAGTTGCCCGAGTCGTCACTGTATCGAACCGCAACAGTAAAACGGTTATTAACCGTATCTCTTCGTATTCCCTGTAATCTTATAAAAGCCTGTATCTCTTTGTTTTACTCAATCTACTTTGCCCTCACATACCAGCGCAAGGTGGTTCAAATCCTTTATTAAGCTTCCGGTGTTGTATCAAGTGTCACCTAGAATTTACCCCTGCAAAGATCCTAAGGGCTTTTCTCAACCCAACATGGTATGAGAGCAATCAGGGGGATTCAACTTCTTTATTAACAGTATCAATCAACATGGCTACACAAAAGGAGAGGAGCAACTCCAACGGCTCCCAGGACACTACTCCTACTCCACCTCCTGCCTCTGGCCTACAGACAGAGGAGGGCACGGCAACAAGACCAAGAGTAACATCTACTGAAACTCCCGTGAATCAACCTGCAGACTTCGACCTGAGCATGATGGAGAAATTTTTCTCCTTCATGTCCTTCTACGAGCAACACCAGCAATCGGCACCTGCGCAGTCACACAACAGCAACAACAACAGAGCAACACCCATGAGCCTCGACGGCTCATCATATGCACGAGGAAATCAGCAACAGCAACCTACCTTTGCTCCGTACGAGCGCGGGTCCATCAGCTTCATGCCGCACCCGCAGCCTTCACCTGGACAAGAAAAGCCACTGGACGCGTTACAAGTCCAATCGCAGTTCGCGCACGTCCTGAAGATGCAAACAACACGACCTTTCGACGGAAAGGATTTCTTCACCTGGTCATTCGAGTTTGAGTTAATGATGGAAGGCGCGCAGATACTCGGCTTCTTCGACGGGTCCCTGCCATACCCAACAAACGGCACACAGTATGAGAAGCAGCAGTACACCTATCAGTCAATGATGGCGTACACGATTCTACTGAGGAACATCACACCGACTCAGCAGCAGAATATACGGTCTTACCGGGGTTACGGAAACTCCGCGGAGCTCGCGTACAACCACTTGAAAAGCCTGTATCAAGCAACAGACAGCGTAAGTCAAAGTCGGTTAATGGCGCAACTAACAACTGTTGAAAAGAAACCAGGAGAGAAAGGAATGGCGTATATCAGTCGATGTCGCGAGTTGCGCGACAAGCTTCTTCGATGCGGAGGGTCGATCTCTGAAGACGCCTTCGTGACAGTCATCATCGGCGGCCTCGGTCCTCAATGGCGCGCCACAAAGGCCATCCTTCGAGCTCACGGAAGAATCTCCGAAGCAGCGTTATGCGCCGAAATCCACGCCGAGCAGCAAGATATGGACCTGCAAGAAGAGCGACATAAGAGAAAGACATCAGTACCGGAATTCGCGTTCCACACTCAGCGACGCTACAACAACAACAACAACAATCGGCGACAACAGAAGTTCGTACCTCCGTTCTGCCACATCTGCAAGACGTCAGGACATCCGCGCACACACTGCCCGAATCGTCAACAGTCAACAACTCCGCCCACAGAGACAACTTCGACCTTCAAGCAACCAAGCTGCTTCAACGCAAGTAAATTCCACCGCTCAAGTAACAACGACTTCAACGGGACAACCTGCACAAGGAGCAAGAAACATCGTCAGCTGCATGGTAAAACTAAGTGACTCCTGCATCACTGAGTCACCACCATACTACTCACCGGAAGACCAACTCGACGAAACCACACCCCGCCGTGAGTCACTTCAGCCGAACCCAACATACGCCGCCATCGCCCAAAGCGAACCATCCGGGAAGGACACATGGTTCCTGGATAGCTGCTGCGGATAGCATATGTGCTCCTCGGGACGCTTCGTTCAACGAGAACACCAACTTCAACGAGAAGTTGTCATTACAGTCGCCAACAATCAGAACCTGCGAACACGACGACAAGGCATCGTTCAACTTCAGTCAAGGGAAACAAACGTCATACTGCAGATGTCAAAAGTACTAATCGCGGAGGGACTCGGCTACAACTTACTCAGTGTCAGCCAACTGATGGCTAAGGGTATCCACCTTGAAGCAGACAGCACCACTCAGGAGTTCAAGCTGTACCACGGGAAGGGCGGCCTCTACATCGGAAAGGCAATCTTGAAAAATAACGTCTTCGTTCTTGATTTTGTTCCAGATCTCGGCACAGCAGACAGCGACGGCATCGTCACCTTCACCAACTGGACACACCCTCCAGATCTTGATCCAGACTTCAGTCCCGGCGGCTTCTGGTATTCACACACCATCCCTGAAGAAGAAAGAACAAGGGCGTTAGCAACAATTCAGACACCAACAACAGAAGCAGAAACAACATCGGGAGTATTCATGCGGCTGCCCCCCATTTTTTGTGGCCGTTTGCAGTCCGATACGCTGCGCATCAGCTCAACCTCTGGCCCCGAGTCTCCCTCCCGGAGACTTCTCCGACCCTGCGTTGGACGGGAGAGGCTGGCGATGCGTCACGTTTTCGGGTCTGGGGATCCCGAGCTTTTGTTCGAGACACGTCCGCGGACAAGCTCTCCCGTCGCGCTGTCCCCTGTGTCTTCCTTGGCTTTGTCCCGGACGCCCCTGGCTGGCAGTTCTACCACCCCACCTCGCGTCGTGTCCTGGCCTCTCAGGACGTCACTTTTGACGAGTCCGTCCCCTACTACCGCCTCTTCCCCTACCGCACTGCCCCGCTCCCCCCCCCGCCTCTCTTCCTCGCTCCAGGTGCTGAGGTACCAGACCCCCTCCCCCCTCAGGGTGCCGCTCCCTCAGGTGTGTCCCAGGTAGACCCGGGTGAGCCTGTCGAGGTAGCTGTCGACTCTCGTCCTGCTAGGGGTGCTGAGCCTGGGGGTGCTGAGCCTGGGGGTGCTGCGTCTGGGGGTGCTGAGCCTGGGAGTACTGAGTCTGGAGGTGCGGAGCCTGGAGGTGCGGAGCCTGGAGGTGCTGAGTCTGGGGGTGCTGAGTCTGGGGGTGCTGACCCTGAGCGTACTACACCTGGAGGAGCCCTCTCCTCCCGGCAGCTGCAGGAGAGGTACCTACAGTACTGCCGCCTCCGGAGAGGTACTACTGGAGCTCGTACCAGTACTTCTCCTCCTGCCCAGGAGCTCCCCCCCATTCAGCAGATCCGAGAGTGGTACACGCGGCGCTGCAGTCTTCGGAGTGGTGCTCCTGGTGCTGCGGACCCTGGGGTTGGCGCTGCTACTGGTGCTGAGGACCCGGGCGTTGGAGCTGCTGCTGGTACTGCGGACCCGAGCGGTGGAGCTGCTACTGGTGCTGAGGACCCGGGCGTTGGAGCTGCTGCTGGTGCTGCGGACCCGAGTGGTGGCGCTGCTGCTGGTGCTGAGGACCCGGACGGTGGAGCTGCTACTGGTGCTGAGGACCCGGGCGTTGGAGCTGCTGCTGGAGCTGAGGACCCGGGCGGTGGAGCTGCTGCTGGTGCTGAGGACCCGAGCGGTGGAGCTGCTGCTGGTGCTGAGGACCCGGACGGTGGAGCTGCTGCTGGTGCTGAGGACCTCGCCACTGGTGTCTCTGCTGGTTCTGGAGACGCTGCGCGGCCGCGACCGTACTTCGTACTGTCAGAATCCCAGCCACTAACCACTGGGATAAAAGGGCTTGTTTGTGTAGCGGGTGAGTGCGCCCATAACCCCCCAGGCCAACGTGCCTGTAACCCTTCCCTAGGATCAATCGGGGATCTCCAGTGGACCTCTGACACCCCCCCGCACTGGGATGCCCGAAGTGCACACACCGGGAATCGAACCCGAGACCTTCGCTCTGATACCATGTCAGAATCCCAGCCAC